ATCTAATCTATTTTCTAATGAAGAAAAATATAATATTATTGAAATGATACGTTTACACGCTCAAAATAAGAATAAAAATGAAGAAATAAGTAATCATGCTGTAATGAATTATTTTTTAGAGCAATGTAAAAATAAACTTCATATTATAATTTGTTTTACTGCAACAAACAATCAAATAAGATTATATTTACATAAGTATCCAGAATTAATAAAATATTGTACATTAAATTGGTATGAAATGTGGCCAACAGATACATTTATGCAAATAGGTTTAAAATATATTCAAGATATTGATATTGAAAAAGATATAAAATCAAATGTAATTAAAATTTGCATACAATTACATAAGTATGCAGATGAAGTAAGCATTATATATTATAAAGAAACTGGTACAAAAATTCATGTTACATTATCTACATTTTTACATATGTTGAAATTATATGTTCATCTGATATGTAAAAAACAAAAAAATATCATTACAATGAAAAATAGATGTTTAATAGGTTTAGAAAAGATAAAATTAGCAGCCCAACAAGTAGAAAAAATGAAAACCACATTAACAATATTAAAACCACAATTAGAATCGTCTGCTCAGAAAATGATTATTACAATGAAAGAAGTGGAAAATGAAAATATTAGTATAGAAAAAGCAACTGCTGTTGTACAAAAAGAAGAAGAAATAGCAAATAAAAAAACAGAAATTGCTTCAAAATTGAAATTAGAATGTGAAGCTGATCTAGCTGTAGCAATTCCAATCTTAGAAGATGCTATTGCTGCATTAAATACATTAAAACCTACAGATATTACATTAGTCAAAGCTATGAAAAATCCTCCTGATACTGTTAAACTAGTAATGGCTGCAATATGTGTGATGCTTGATGTTCCTCCAGATAAAGGTATTGATACAATTACAGGTAAAAAATATATAGACTACTGGAGTCCAAGTAAACGTATTTTAAGTGATATGAACTTTTTACAAATTTTGAAAGATTATGATAAAGATAATATTTCATCTAATATTATACAAATTATTAAAAAAACATATATAACAGATAATAATTTTAAACCACATATTGTTGCTAAAGCATCAAGTGCTGCAGAAGGTCTTTGTAAATGGGTATGTGCAATGGTATCTTATGATGAAGTTGCAAAGGCAGTTGCTCCTAAGAAAGAGAAATTGCTTATTGCACAAAAAGAATGTAATGAAGCTGAAGCTTTTTTAAATAAGAAACGAAAAACTCTTTCTATGTTAAATATTAAACTTGGTGATTTAAATAACAGTCTTCAAGAAACACTGCAACAAAAAATAAAATTAGAAAAAGAAGTAGAAAACTGTACTATTAAACTTCATAAAGCAGAAAATTTAATAGCAAGCTTAGAAGGAGAAAAAGATCGTTGGATGCAGCTTGCAGAAAATCTTAAAATAAATTATGATAATCTTGTGGGAGATATGATATTAACTTGTGGAATTATAAGTTATATAGCATCATATAATATTGTATTTCGTAATAAAATTGTAGAACAGTGGAAACATTACATAGAAGATTTAAAAATATCATATAGTAAAAATTATAATTTAGTAAATATACTTGGAGAAGACAATAATATAAACTATTGGTATTTTTCAGGTTTATCTAAAAATAATTTTTCAGTCGAAAATGCAATTATTATGAATAATTCCAAATTATGGTCTTTATTTATTGATTCACAAAATCAAGCAAATGAATGGATTAAAAGAATTGAAAAAAAAAATGATCTTAAAATTATTAAACTTACTGATTCTAATTATTTATCAATTATTCAATATAATGTTGAAAATGGTATTCCTACATTAATTGAAAATGTAGGAGAAGAATTAGAAATATCATTAGATCCTTTTCTTTTAAAAAAAATTTATAATATTGAAAAATTTTCATATTTAGATACTGGTTTTGGTATTATAAAATATTCCTTTGATTTTCGATTATATATTACAACGCGATTGCTCAATCCTCAATATTCATATGAGACATTTAGCAAACTTACAATAATTAATTTTTCTATTACAAATGAAGCTCTTCAAGATAGACTTCTTGATTTTATTATTTCCAAAGAAAAGCCAAAATTTCAAGAAAAATTTGAAGCTTTACTTATAGAAGATGCTAATAATAAAAAAGTATTAAAACAACAGGAAGATATTATTTTAAATATTTTATCTTCTACAACAACAAACATTCTTGAAGATGAAATTGCTATAAAAAGTTTAGATACATCAAAAAATCTTTTTTTAAGTATTATGAAAAAACAAGAAGTAACAAAAACAATGTCAATGAAAATAAATAAATTTCGAAATGCTTATGTACATTTTGTTAAATATTGTGCAGATTTATTTGATATATTAAATATTTTGCCATATATAAATCATATGTATCGTTTCTCTTTTGCATGGTTTATGCAACTATATAGAGAATCAATTAAAGATTCAAATAAGAGTATTATTCTTGAAAAGCGATTAAAATATTTGAAATCTTCTTTTACTCATAGTTTTTATTCAAGTATTTGTAGATCTTTATCAGAAAAACATAAAATATTATATTCTTTCTTATTATGTTCTAAAATTCTATTGAATAATCAACAAACAACTGAAAAAGAAATTAAATATTTTATAAGACCAAGCATAAATCATATTAATACAGTTCCAAATTTTAAATTTGATTGGCTTCCATATAATACTTGGATAAATATTTATAATCTAAGTAAAACATTTCCTTCTTTTTTCAATCTTGCAGATGATTTTTGTTATAATAATAAAGTTTGGAAACAATACTATAATTCTGAATCACTTGAAGATCATTTGATACCAAAACCTTGGAATAGTACATTATCTACATTTCAAAAACTTATTCTTGTAAAAATTTTACATCCTGATAAGATTGTAATACAAATTATGCAAATGATAGAAAATATGTTAGGAAATATACAAAATTATTCTCTTAAAATGAAAATATCTCAATCATATGCAGAATCTAATTATTTAACTCCACTTCTATTTATTTTACCTGCTTGTGTAACACCATTAACTCTTATTTCTACATATGCAAAAACTAAAGGCTATTTATCAAAATTTGTTTCCTTATCTATGAGTAAAGGTCAAGAAGAAAAAGCTGAATTTCTCATACAAAAAGCTCAGAGAGAGGGAAATTGGGTGTTTTTACAAAATTGTCATTTAGTAACTCATTGGATAACTTATCTTGAAAAAATTTATGAAAATTGTAGCACTTTCAATGTATCTGTAAATTTTCGATTATGGTTATCTAGTTATTGTACAAATAAATTTCCAATTAGTATCTTGCAAAATAGTATAAAAATCATGTATGATTATCCTTTAAATATCAAAGAAGCATTATTGGATATTTATCAATCTGAACCTATAATAAATAAAGAATTTTTTGAAGGTTGTCCTGGAAAAGATAAAATTTTTTTAAAACTTCTTTTTGGAATATGTCTTTTTCATACAATTATACAAGAAAAAAAAAATTTTAGGATTCAAGGATGGAATGTACCATATATCTTTGAACATACTGATCTTAAAATATCTATTATGCAATTAAAAAATTTCATAAATAATACAGATTGTATACCTTTTGATATTCTTCTATATTTTATTGGAGAATGTAATTATGGAGGAAAAATTCAAGATGAATTTGACAGCAGATATTTAAAACATCTTTTAAATGATTATTGTAATTCTAATATAATTGAAAATAGACAATATATGCATTCAAATGGTATACAAAAATTAATACCACAAAGATGTGAATACTTTCATATAATTGAACATATTAAGAAATTTCCATCAGATTTATTACCTCAAATTTTTGAATATAATAAAAGTAGTGTTATTACTCGAAATACTATGATAGCTAAAGAATTGATATCATTTCTTTCATATATAAATTCTCCAATTTCTTTATTAAATGAACAAATACAGGAAAATCAAATATTAATTTTAATCAATGATATTAGTAATAAATTATATGACTCAATTAAAATTAATGAAATTGAAGAAAAATGTACTTCTATGCCTAAAGAATCTTTACAAATAGTTCTTCTTTATGAGATTAAGTCATTAAAACATATTTTAAAAATTATAACGGAAACATTGAATACTCTAAAATTAACATTGAATGGTTATCTTCCTTTTACGGATTCAATAAAAGAATTTGCCGAAGAAATCTATAAAAATAAAATTCCAAGAATTTGGAAAAAAATACAAATCAATATTTTTGCTGAAAATTTAGCACATTATATCGATAATTTATTAAAACATGCAAATTTTATTAAAAATTGGATTGATCAAGGACGTCCTACAAATATTTGGTTTGATGCATTATTTAATTGTAAAATGTTTCTTTCTGCAATATTATTTACATTTTCTAAAAAATATAATATACCTATTGAAGAAATTGCTTTTTATTTTGAAATAACAACGAATAAAGAAATCGAAGAAAATGTTGATACATATTTAATATGTGGATTATATATATTTGGTGGTCGATGGAGTTTAGAAAAAAATATGTTAGTTGAAAATTTTTCAAATGAAATCTGGCAAAATATGCCACCTATATATCTTAAGTGTTCACGAATAAAAAAAAATATACAAGAAACATATATATGTCCTATTTATATAACTGCTGTTCAACATATTGATAGTATTGAACTTTCTTCAAAGAATTATATAATTAGCATACCATTGAAAACTAATATATCTCCAATTCATTTTATAAAATGCGGCACAGCTTTATTTTGTCATATATCAAAATATCATACATTATAATGTTAAATAATTATATAAAAAATAAAAAAAAATTTTTTTAATATATATATATAATTTTTATAATAATATTTTCTAATATGTTTAAAATACAACAAACAAAATAAATGAAATTATATCAAAATGATATAATTGTAAAAATAATTAAAAAATTAAAAGTAAATTAAAATATATATTTAAACATTTCGCGGATTCATTCACTGTGTATATATCCGGTTCAGTTCCATATAAATGGAAGGAATGACAGGTAAATTGAAGAAATTGACGTAAAGTTGAATTAACTGAACAAAGGAAATTATTACAAGAAAGATTTTGAAAGTTACAATAATTATCATAAGCATACATTGCTATATATTACGAGTGGTTTAATATTTCCTTTCAATGGAGAACCATGACGAGTTAGTTTCGCAATTTATAGATACAACTGGGGTTGAACCTGAAGAAGCACGATTTTATCTTGAGTTATCTAATTGGCAGCTTGAGGTGAGGCAGCATATTTTATTTTAATACGAAGGTTATAATTTTAGACTATTATAACTATATTTTTTCATTGATCTTTAATATTGGCTTTGTAACCTTAAATTTATTAAATTGTAATATTCTTACAACTCACAATTTCGTATTTTTAATAATATTTTAGAGCATAACTATTGCTGTGTTACTGTTTTAAAGGCTTGTTTTAATTAAAATATATTTCACAACATATAAATACATAATAATAATGTTGCAATGATATAATTAAAGTAATTAGATTTTTTATTTTAGAAATTGTCAATATATTTAAAAAAAAATTAATTGTCATAAAATTAATACTTTAATAATTATTAATCATAGAATTTATTGTTAAATATTTTATTATATATATATATCTTAATATATCTGTCAATTTAAAATATTTTAGGTTGCTCTTGACACATTTTATTATCCTCTTGCTTTACCTTCATTGTCTAATGAACCTACTGAAGGTACATCAGAAGAAGAACGTACTGATATTTCAGATAAAAACGCAGGAAGTGTAAAATCATCAGAAATGGAAGGAAAATCATCAAAAGAAAAAATAAAACCAAAATCTAAATTTGCAATGCTTAGTGATCTTAAAGATAGAGAGAGTAGCCCTGAGGATGAAGAAGGCCAAGCATTTTATGCTGGTGGTTCTGAACATACTGGACAACAAATTCTAGGACCAGGAAAGAAAAAGGATATTGTTAGTGATATGTTTAAGTCTTGTCAGAGACAATCAATTGCTGTAGAATCAAAACCAAGTGGACAACAAAGACCAAATACTTTTAGTGGTACTGGATATAAATTAGGTCAAACTAGTTCAGATACTGAAAGTAAATGAAACTATTTTGCAATAAAGTAAATAATTATTTTGTAACAAATTATATTATGTTAAAATAAATATTTTTTTTATAGTTGTTACTGCTACAACATCTAATAATCAACAGACAAATTCTGGACTAATTACTTTGAAATTATGGAAAGATGGATTCACTATAAATGATTCTGAACTTCGGTTGTATAGTGATCCAGAAAATAGAGAATTTCTTGAGACTATAAAACGAGGTGAAATACCAGCAGAAATACGCCAAGAGATACAAGGTACTGAAGCACGACTTGATATGGAAGATCATCATCATGAAACATATGTTCCTCCAAAAGTTAAAGTGAAAGCTTTTAGTGGAAAAGGACATATGTTAGGAAGGTATATAATATACATGGAAAAATTATTTTTTAGTATACTTTATTAAATTATTTTTTATATATTTTTGATAATTCTTTTCTAGCCCTTCTCCAGCTACAGTTGGTATGACAATACCAACAGATCTTGCAGATCAAGCAGCAAATGAATCTCAGGCAAAACAAAAATTAAATTTAGATGAATCAAAACCTGTGACAACATTACAAATTCGTCTTGCTGATGGGACTAGTGTAAAAGCTCAATTTAATTTAACTCATACTATTAATGATTTGAGGCAATATATAATAACGTATCCTTTCTTATATAATTTCATCTGTATTAAGAAAATTAATTTATTTTTATATATTATTCTTTAATCTTTTCTCAGTATGAGACCTCAATATGCTATGAGAGAATTTAATTTATTAACAATGTATCCTACTAAGGAACTCACAGAAGATAAAACTATTGAAGAAGCTGGTTTACAAAATACAACAATAATTCAACGACTGAAGTAAATATCTTCTTTAGAGCCTTAATTATGGAAGTTTAAGTGATGTATTGATTAGAGAATTCTTAAATATACATTGAAATATTTGAAAAACACATTTCAACACATTTTAGTAATTGAATGGCACTTTACTATTGTTTATTTTAATTTTAAGTACAGTTTTTGTTATATAATGTTATTTTTTCTAATACAAAAAATATTTTATTAAAAACAAATCTATTATTAAAATTTCAATTAACATAAAGTAAAATTACAAAACCTTTGTAAAGTTTGCAATAAAATCATTCAATTTATATGTATTTATTATATATAATTTTTATATGTGTGAATAACTAGCATTTAGTAATAAACATAAAATTTCCTTTTAAATATAGTACTAAATAAGTTATGAAAATGTTTTTATACTATTTCTTTTGATAAATAAAGTATTTAAACTAAAAAAAAATGTATTGCCATGTAAAAAGTATTTAATATAAAAAATAATATTAGGAAAAAATATTTATATATAAATCATAAATATTGAAAAATCAATAATTATGCAATATAATAAATTTATATATATATAATATTATATAATTATATTCTTATTTTTTATATATTCATTTATATATGATATATATAAATAAAACTTAAAATTAAATTTCAAATTAAATTTATTTTATAAATATATTAAATCATTTGCTACTTTCTAAAAGAATTTATTTTCTAATATAAATTTTCTAAATTGTGAATTTTGTATATCTTCAATGAATCTTAAAATTGAAGTATCTTCAACATTTGTTTCTGAATTTGATTTTTCGAAACAATATTGATAACGATTTAACGTAATTAAATCTTTTCCAATCGCTCGTGTATATATATTTTTTTTTTTTAATATTTCATGCATATTATAGATATAAATTGGTTGATTATCAAGAATACTTGAATCATAATGTAATTTTTTAAATATCATAAATGTTACATTTCTATTGATTAGATTATCTGTTTGTTCTGTACAAAAAGTTAATGTCTTTAATTTGTAACGATCAGCTTTTAATCTAGATCTTTTAAAATCTCTCATTAAGTCTGTAAGGGAATGATGATATCTTAAAACTATATATTCATCCCAAGATAATGTAATGATATACATAACTTTATTATATGTACGATACAAACAATCTGCTTGTATCAAGTTTTTTATTATAGTAGGATGAGTATTGGAAAAAGGAAAATTCCATGGCACTATTGTATATGTAAATTTCCAATATGAGTTTTGAGATTTAGATAATTCTTTAAGTTTACTATTATATTCATTTGGAATACCAAAATCATATACTATAAAATTATCCACACCAATTATATCATGAAATTTTATAAAACTAATCATTTGTAATGGTTGTATTGGTTTTGTCAATGATGGTGTAATGCATATTGCAGTATTGGCATAATTTAAAGTATGTGATTGACTTTTGATTGGTAATATAGGCACATTATTAAGATCTGAATTAGATTTTATAAAAAACATTATTCCTATTGGTATTTTATTTTTGGTGTATGCACAATAAAAATGATATCCTTTATAATTAAAATTTTTATCAATATTTGCAATATTTAAATTATCATCAATTAAGAGATAACTAAAATCTCCTAAAATTGAATTAGTTTCATTTTCAAATAATATTGCACATTGCATATTCTTAATATTATTTGATGAACCAAAACCTATTACTTGAATTTCATTATCATGTATATTATATGCAGAATAAACATATAAATCATTCTCTAATCTTTGCCAAGAAGAAAGTGGTTCTTCAAATTTCATGTCAAGTTTTGTAAATATTGGTATATTATTGGTACAATTTATTTCATTTTTTTGATTTGGCTTACCAAAATAATTAAAAACTTCTAAAACATATCTTAACTTGTTATATTCATGTCTATAAAATAATAAAGACACAAGACTCATTATAGCAATTATTACAAGTGCAGCTTGATAATATTTTCGCATTTTCAAAATCTAATATAAGAAATGATAAAATAATTTTATCAATTAATATACAGTACTTTATAATTTATTAGATTATCTCAGGCATTGATAGAATTCTGGAACAAAAATTTTATTCAAATAATTAGATATTATTATTATACAAATTTTATAAATTTAAATTTATTATTAAAAATAATATATTTAAATTTTTTTACTTAAATAATCTATTAAAAATAGTATATTTAAAAATTTTAGATATTGAGATAGACTTTGAGATATTGTATATTATTTTTGAAATATTTTATATATAATTTAATTTAATTTATAATTTACCATTGAATTTATGATTTAATAAATTTATATTTTTTACACTGTTTTAATATTAAGAATATAATCTTAATAACTTTCATTTAAAAAATGTTACTAAAGATTAATTTAAATGCTCGATAACTAAATGAAAAGTATGAGGTTAGTAAATTTTCGCGCCAATTTTTGAAATGATCAAAATATAAAATATATATATAAAAAATATTTATTATTCGTTTGATTAAATTTATTAATATTCCTATATTTTTATTTTGTCTCATTCATATGATATTTGAATAATTTAAGTAATAAGAAAACTTAAGATACAAATATAAATTTTTATATTAAATTTATATTTATTAGTATAAAGATAATAATTTATACAATTGCATATTGTTCGTACAGTAATTCACGTACTTTATAATAATCTTCTGAAATGCAACCTTCCAATATTACTTTTCCAGCTTCATGCTGAAAAAACATTAAATTTTAAAAAATTCTTATTTTATTATTAATTATACTATTAATTATAATTATAATTAAATAAATTAATTAAATACAAACCCTTCTGACAGCAATAGTATTATTACAACACCATAAAACACCTCCACTAAATTCAGAGGGAATATTACTTTTATTTAAAATTTGCTTAAAATCAGATAATTTTAATTCATTTATAAATGTTGTTTGATGACCAGGCACCTATAAACCATAAATATAGTCACAATATTTATATTTATATTGTAAAATAATTATATTGTAAATATTTATATTGTAAATATAAGATTTTTATTTTTATTTTTTTATAATACCTCATTTAATGGCAGAGGTTCCAGTGTGAGTATTTTATCACTTTGATCTATTGAATCATTTGATTCAGTACCTGCAACAGCATCTCGACATATCTGATCACGTGCAGTTATCATTGCATCAACCCATGCTACTTCAGAATCACCCTTTCCTTTTGAAAAGTTTAAACCACTAACAAGTGCATCAGTTAAACGAACCTAATTAAATATAAGATTATAATTTATATTTTATTATATTATAATTTTTTATATTATAATTTTAATAAATATATTATATATGTATATATATATATATGCATTTATATAAAGATTAAATTAAGATAAATTAAATATTACTTGGTATATATGCGTTTCTGTTGTAGCATCTAATGTTTCTCCTCTTCCTGGAATAAATACACGTGCACCTGCACTTTGTGCTTGTTGAGCAAGAATTTCAGTATCTCTTTGTGATCCTCTAACTAGTACAACTCTTCTTGGTCTTAATTGTGCCAAAATTTTCTGTAATGATTCTCCATCAGATCTACCTTCAAAATCTATATATGTAACAGAGGCATTAACTGTCATTGTACGTGTAACTTGAATACATTTGGTTGGAATATCAGTAGGTATTTCTGGATGATGAGCAGTATCTTCTTGCTTTGTTTCCAGATTTTCTTTATTGTCATCTACTTCTGGCATAGTTTCTGCTATTTTATAATCTTCTGGTCTATATACAAATTTAAAAAAATTATACATTATTATCATTAATTTAAAATATTATAAATGTATACAATAAATACCTTATAATTTCTCCATATTCATCAATTTTAATTTTTTCTTCTACAAATGGAAACATAGGATGTTGTTTTTTACTTTGTTTAAAAAAACCTGGTTTACTTTCTTGTTTCACTAACAAATCATGTTTTCCTCTTCCTCCACCAACTTCTATTTCATCTTCTGATTCAGAACTTATATCAGCAGTCTCCCTGAAATATAATAAGTATTTAAATAAGAAATAATATCTATGAAAATATCAATTTCTATATTATAATATAATATATTATAATTATATACATTTGTTCTTGTTTCAATTGTTCTTGTTTTAATTTTTCTTTTCTTTGATATTCTTCCAACTCAAGTCCTTCTAATTTTATTCTCCGTTTTACCTCCAATGTAATATTTCTATTACCTCCTTTTTCTACTAAATCTCTTGCAAGTGTTCCTGGTGATGTCCTACTAGTTAATATAATACTATTTTGGGGATTACCACACCATTGTAAAAATAATTCTCTTGAAAAACCACATTCCATATCTGGAGTGCTTGCAAGTACAACCTTGAATTCACATATAAATCTATTTTCATTTATATTATTTATTAATATTTATATAAATTAATAATTTTATAATAAATATTCTAACCTTTGGACTAGGAACTTGATTTAATTCTGCCATACTATGACATAATTGTAAATGTTTGAATTGAAATGGATTATTTCTAGCTCCTTCAAAACTTCTCATTAATTTATCACTCATCCATTCTATTTGTGATTTAGCAAATTCAACAACATTATAACTAACATTGTTTAAAAGAGCTAAAGAATATGCAAGTAAACCAGATTCTTTATTGCGCCATAATTGATCTAACATATGAGCTAATTCCAATACACGACCAGCTGTATCTACACTAACCAAAACATTTCCACCTCCACGTAGAGTTTGTAAAATATTTGCTATAAAATATTATTAAATATCAAATAATATAATATTATAAAATATTATTAATAGAATTATAAACAAAATTTATTTTCATACTCATTAACTTCTCATCTCTGGTTCTACGTCTTGCTTGTTGATATGTAGCATTGAAAGCATCTGTTATTAATAAAGATGGTCTTTGTAATCGTTCTAATTCACAACCATTTAAATGTCGTTCTTTTTTATGATTAAAATCTACAGCATATATTATATCTTCTTCACCAACTTTCACAATTTTCCAAATAGTACCTCCAATCATATGACCAGCTGGTAAAGGTGTTAAAGTAACTCCATATCCTTTTCCCTTCATTGAAATACTTTGATTATATTTTAATTGAACTATTTTATCAAATGCTGCATCAACATCATCAAGTGTAAAAAGATCAAAATCTTCCATATTATGACGAGACTACAAAAATATATAAATATTTATTTTGTGTAATTTATTTTAATGAAATTATAAAAACAATAAAAAGTATTGAAATTTGATTAAAATTTTTTTTATCAAGAATACCTGATACATATCATACATAAACATTTGTCCCATTTTATATACAGGGATAGTAGCATATATAGGACAATTTAAACCACATTTTCCAACTAAATATGGTAAAGCACCCAAATGTAATGGGTCTGGATATGATAAGAGAACTGCATCTATTTGATGAACATGACTAAAAGAATAATATTATGTTACTATTGTTCTTAAATTTCTTATTTTATTTACTTTATAATTTTTAAAATATCATATAATTATCTACCGTTTTAATTCTCTTATAAATTCTTGATCAAAATTTTCATCCCATCCACAATCAAGTAATATTCTTAATTCATCAACTTGTAATATATAACAAGGAGGAGATTCATCCATAGCTCCAGAAACAGCATGAAGTTTTATAATTGATGTCATTGTTTTTGTCTTTTCTCCTCACTTATTAAAATATATATAAATAATATATATATATTCAATTCATTTAATTTATTTTTTAATTACAAAACATATTTACAATTTAACCTATTATTTATAATTATACTCCTTTGATTTTTAATCAACTAAAATTAAGTTTATGATTTCTAAAAAATTACAAATATTTTTTAAAAGATATTTATATCGTTTTAGTTTATTTATTTTTAATTACTTAAAGTATTTGAAACAAAACATTTTAAAATGTTTCTTTAAATTTTCTTTAAGTTTAAAAAATGATCAACAAATGGTACAATAGAATTTTAGATAATATCCCGGTATTTTCTAATAAAGAGAAATAAATAATGTTAATGTTATATGACTTAAAAATAGAATAGATAAAATATAAAATAATATAATATGAATTTTTCTTATTATTGTATGGCACAGATGAGATACAAAAAATAATGTTTTTTCGTGTTATGAATTTTGAATCTATCTTATTTTTTTGTCATTTTCGTGTCACATGCAACGTTATTGGATTGGAATTCAAACTTAATTTTACAAAACTTAATTAATGCTTATTATTAACAATAATTGAAATGAGTTATTATATGGGTATTATGGATATATACTATATATATTATACATAAATAAATAATATAACTATGGGTATATAATACAACTAGTATAGAATCACAGATTCTACAAAAATACGATTGTACAAAGCAAGTCATATAAACAACTAGTATATTTAAATTCTTTAAAATTAAAAAAATTATCGAAAAATATTTCACATTTACAATAAAATAATTCTTATTGCAAGAAATAAATATGCACATAGTAAATTTAGAAGAAATAGCATGAAAATTTTTGTGAAATTTAATGTATTTATTTTTTATATATATTTATTCTTTAAGTTAACTTATTGGTAAGAATATGTCATTTCTCGTTTTTCAAGATTTTAATAAATTCTAATTATGAAAATTATATTATGAAATAATATACTAACCTCTTATATATTTAGTTTTTGTATATTTAACTTTTTAAAATATATTTTTGAAAGCTGCAGAAAAAAAATTAAAATATATATATATAGAAATACAAAAATATGTTCTATAAATTATATATATGACATATAAAAATACAAATATATATTATGTTATTAAAAAAATTGATATTTTTGATATATCAGTTATCACAGGTTTAAATTTGTTACAATTTACATAATATAAGTATATAGAGTATAATGCAAAATAGAAATAGTATAAAAATATGCGAATTAATACTATTTCTAACAAATGAAATATATAAAGAAAAAAAAAAAACAAATTATATATAAAGATATAAAATTGATAACGCGTCATCTTTTGAATGCTCAACATATTTCAAGTTTGTACATTTTTTAAAGAGATGGTATAAAAATCTTTTTCAAAAAATTTTTTTCCCATTATTTGTTTTCTTTATTTTATATTTTATTGTAACAGTAAATAACATTTCTAATAGATTTATGAATCAAAAAGATTTTTTTAATGAAAAAAAATCATATTTTATATATATTATCGTATTTTTTTTTAAATATGAATAAGTAAATATATGTAGCAAGTTTCATAATGAATTAAATAAAATAATCCAAAAATATTTTATTACTATATATGAATGCTGAACAGTTAAAAAATATTTTAAAGAAAAGTGTATTTGATATTATGAATATTTTTTTA